GCAGTGTGGTTGGCGCAGGATAGAGCAGGGTTTAGAGCTGTTGTGCATAGGGTCGCTATGAGTCGGAAACGACTCGATGGCACATAACAACAACATCAAAGAAAGATTTGCATTTCAGAAATGGATTTGGCCTCCAGCCTGGTTTGCTTGGGACTTAGTTCTCTGATGTCTAGAGCTAAGCAACCATTAGCTGAATATGGTGGAGAGGCTCTTAGGTCAAGGAAGAAGGTAATGAAGTTCATGTCTTTATTGTCAGTGGTGTCGTACATCAAAGAGCAGACTGGGCCAGCATCCATGAGAAGATATGCCAGCTCCTGATTCCGCTTCGCACTCCCATGCCCTTCTACAATTCAGAGGAAGAACGACAGCATGGCCGGCAACAGTTGCAGCAGCGGCAGGTGCGCCCTATAGGACAATCAGGGTTAGCACGGTGGAGCAGACCACAACAAGGGTTGCACTGTGTTGAAATGCCTTTATGTCCCCAGTACCATTTGCAGGGTGTTCTCCACATGGGATCTGGCCACATTCTAGCAAAACCAAAGAGACCACTGCTGTGGAGTCAATTCTAACTCATGGTGACCTTCCAGTAACTTTCTGAGGCTGGAAAACGTTTTTGGTTTTTTTAAATTTGAGTGGAAGTTTGCAAATCGTGTTGGAAAACTCCTTAAATTATTCAAACATATTGTATTATAACATTAATTATAATGTCTAATGAACTCCTTATTGACCTTTTCTTCATTAAATAGATATATATTTTTTATTACCCCCTCCCTCTCTTTCCATCCCAGCTGACCTTTCTTGGAACTGGGGGGAACTCTGGGTAAACCTTTCCTTAGCTTTTTATAAGGTTTTATACCTTTGTTATGCTTTTGTGACTGATTTATGCCACCCAGCACACTTTGTTCTAGATAATCCAAATTGCGCAGCGTTTCATGCGTTCTTTACTGTGATGCATAACACTCCATTGTGTGAACATACCATAGTGCATTCATCTATTCATGGACACTTGAGTTGTTTTTAACTCTTTGCTATTGTAAAAAAAAGTTGAAATAAACATAGATATGCACATATCAGTTCATATGGTATTGTTGTTGTGTACCATAGAGTTGGAACTGACCCATGGTTGATCCTCCAGTAGGTTTTCAGAGGCAGTTAATTCACTCGGGAGGAGATTGCTCATCCCTCTCCCCTGGAGCAGCTTGTGGCCTTGAACCATGTGCCTTCAGGACTGCAGCATAGTTTCTTGCCACTAGGCCACCAGAGACAACAGTTCATATAACAGCTCTAATTTTTTGTTTTGTTTTAATTTAAAAAAATATATTTATATCTTGGGAGCAGGAGTGGCATCCACTTCTTAGACAACATGCCTCTGGAAACTGACACACTAGACCTTTGAGAAATGATGGTATTTATAGAAAGGCTTCTGGTCTTTTGTTCATAGGGTTGACATCTCGACAGCAATCAATAACAACCATATCTATCTATCTATCTATCTAGTAATGGGATTGCTGTATCAATTGGTATTTCTATTTCCAGCTTTCTAAGGAGGTTTGACTATAAAAATTAGTGAGCACTAAGGAATAACTATTTCATAAAACACTATATAACATGAAAGAGACTAGAGGTTATTATGCTGAGTGAAATAACTCTGTCACATAAGGACAAATACTGTATAAAACCACTTTTTTGGAAATAGCAAAATAAATGAGCAAGATATATACATACATATACTCAAATGAGGAATCAGAAATGGAAAAAGGATACAGAAGAAGGCGAAAGGGGGAAAATCACTAGGTTAGCAGAGGTTATTGGGTAGACAGGTATGTGTGAAGGAATAGGGAAGATTCCATGAGGACTTGAAGAGGAGGGGTGAAAATAGGCATAGAGCAATAGTAAGCAATTACATAACATACAATGTATATGAATTATTGTATAAAACACTATATATTACTGAAAGCAAGCCAATAAATTTTTTTTTAATTAGAAGAGATTGCCCATCTTCCACAGAGTAACTGTTAGAGTCAAACCTTTTGTTTAGCGAACTACCTCATAACACATTACACCATAAGTACTCTTTGACTACATAATTGTTGTTGTAGATAACAGTTGAGTCAAGTATGACTCATAGTGGCCCCATGAACAAGACATCTGAACCCTGTGCTGTCCTGTGCCAGCTTCACCATCTCTGCCACACTTGAACCCATTGTTGCAGTCACTCTGTCAATCCCATCTCATTGAAAGTCTTCCTCTTTTTGACTGACTCTCCATCTTTCCAACCATATCTCTTTCCACAAAATAACTTCTATAACGTGCCCAAAGTATGTGAAACAATTCTTCACCATCCTTGCCACAAAGGAGCAGTCTGGCTGAAATTTCTCCAAGACATATGCATTTTTCTTTTGGCAGTCACTGGATGGATATTCAGTACTCTTTTCCAACACCACAAAAAAACTCAAAGACATCAGTTCTTCTGTCTTCTTTATCTATTGTCCATCTCTCAGATGCATAGTACTGCATGTTGATATTGCATCAAAAACACAATGAAATCGCTAATAATTTCAACCTTTTATTTATCTGCCATGATGTTGCCTATCAGCCCGGTGGTGAGGATTTTAATTTTCTTGTGTATAATCTTAATGAATATAATACATATTGAAGGCTGTAGTTTTTTTATCTTTTGCATCAAGCATCTCAAGTCCTTCTCACTTTCAGCAATCAAGGTTGTGTCATCTGCATTATACATGTTGCTGACAAGTCTTCCTTTGATGCCACATTCTTCACAGAGTACAGCTTCTCAAATTATTTGCTCAGTATGCAGATTGAACAGTTATGGAGAAAGAATACACCCCTGTCACACATCTTTCTTGATTTTAAACCATACAGTGCCTCCTTGCTCTATTCCTCTCAATGTTAGCCATTGTTTGTTCTGATCTACACGAGCAAATGCCTTTGCATAGTCAATAAAACACAAACAGACCTTCTTCCCGTATTCTTTTCTTTCAGCCAAGATCCATTTGACACCAGAAATTATATTGCTGGTGCCATGGCGCCTCTTATAAACCTCACTTGAATTTCTGGCAATTCTTTGTCAGAATACTTTTCTAATCATTTTTTTTTTGATCTTTCATGATACTTCTCAATAAAATGTCCATAATCTCTTGAATGGCCATATAGGAGGTAAAAATACTATATAAATACACAAGTGAATAAATAAAATTAGGAAAATTAACCCCTGTTACTATGGAATTAATAGCATCTAAATTACTCCAAAAAAGTTAGCCCTTTCTAAATCTCTGAACACCATATATTCATCAATTTTGGTATTGATAGTGTTCCTAGAACAATAGAGAGTGAAAGTTACATCTGTCCTTACCAAAACCAGATAATTAACGAAGGGGACAAAATTAGAAGTTTCTTCTAAAATTTGCTGAAATAAAGAAGCAAGATTTTAGATAGTCATGAGACATGACAATTTTGTTAAACTAGAGCTTTGTTAGGCATATGATGAATTCCTGATAACACAGAGGTTAAAACACTCAGCTGCAAGCCAAAAGATCAGGGGTTCAAATCCACCAACTACTGCACAGAAGAGAGATGTGTAGTTTGCTTTACTGAAGATTTACAGCCTTGGAAACCTTGTGGGGTAGTTCTCCTTTGGCTTATGGGTCACTGAATCAGAATCTGCTCAACTGAAATGGTTTAATTTTTATTCATCTAATATTATTGAAAATTTACATATGCTAAGCACTGAATTATGATAAAAACACATATTTTCCTGAGCTTTGAGTAGCTCTTCGTTTGTCTTTTGATGTCATCATGTATTTTGAGTCAAATCTCTCTTGAAAGAAGGGCAGCCATAACGCTCCTTAGAAAGAAGATTGTAAGACTTCATCTCACATACTTGGCATTAGGGGAGGCCAGTCCCTAGAGAAAGATGTGCTTGGAAAAGTATTGGGTTAGTGAGAGAATGGAAGGCCCTTATCAACATGGATTGAGAGATGGATTGACAGAGTGGCTGTAACAACGGACATACATACATACATAGCCCATTGAGGTCGAGAGGGTGACAGTTTTGTTATATTGTGCACAGGGCTGCTATGAGTCAGACGACTTGATGGAACCTAATAACAATAAGCTCTTGGGTCACATGTTTCTCTGAATACAAAGCCTGCAACCCCTTCATTAGGTGCTGGTCTTGTACACAGGTCCACGTGCAATCTTGGACTTTGATTTTTGAGATTGTCTCATATGGTCTATTATTTCTTTTTCTTCTGCAGAAGTATTTGATTGAATTCTGCTACACTGTAGCCCAGAAATATCTCTTTGAAGGAAAGCATGAAGAAGCTGTTCCAGCAGCACTGCATTCTCTTCGCTTCCGTATGAATGTGCATGGCCTCAGCTCAGTGGAGCTTGTGCCCGCTTACCTGCTGTTATCAGAGGCTAGTCTTGGTAAGTGAGACTGACATAGACCCCTGGAACCCTTCAGAAGTGCTGTATATTGATTGGTTCACATCAGTAGCCAGAGGCTAGCCTTGATACTGATAAAACTCTATGTGGGAATGTTGTTGTTGTTGTTGTTATTGTTGTTGATTGCCTTGGAGTTGATCATGACTCATTGCCACCCTATGAACAAAAGGCCTGACACCCCTCTACAACTATCCACATTTATCAAGGTTCATTGAGTTTCCAGAGGCATGTTACTTAGGAAGGGATGGGCCTAAGGTAACTGATAGAAAAGTCATTCTCAAAAATAGTAACACCATACTTACCTGGCAGAGGAGATACCATAATCAAGCAGGTGGCTTTCTCAAGGTGAGACACATTCATTGCACTCCAGGTCTGCTGACCTCTGTGACTTTCCCAAATGAGGAATACTCGACTGCATAATTTGTGTTAGTGGGGTAATAAGTACATGCTATCCCCTGATTTAAAAAAAAATAGTAACACCACAATTATATTAATGATATTATCTATTAGTTTTACATTCTGTTGGATCACTTCTTTTTCTGAAATGTGAACAAATATGTATCTCTTCCAGTCAATTGGCCCAGCAATGATCTTCTAAATTCTTTACATAGACTAGTGAGCATGTCCAGAGCTGCATCTGAAGCACATCAACTAATAGTCCATTAATTCAGTGTGGGGTGTTTTTTTGTGTGTGTGTGGTTTGTTGGGTTTTTTTACCATTGTCTTCAGTGCAGCTTTGTCTTATTTGTTAGCCAAAATATGACTTTAATTTCATCCCACCTGAATTTCAGAATCATCTGAGGTTTGAGGCCTTGAACACTAATAAGTAAAGACCAGATGAGTTGTGGGAGGATGTCAAATGTATCATCCAGGAAGAGTGCAAACGGTTATTACAAAGACAGAAGAAGAAGAAAAGACAAAAATGGATATCAGAACAAACTCTGAAGATTGCACTGGAGCGTAGAGAAGCCAAAGCACAAGGAAGAATTCAAGATACTAAAGAGCTGAACAGAAGATTCCAAAAGGAGCTGAACAGAAGATTCCAAAAGGCAGCACTGAATGACAAAGCAAAATATTACAATGAAATGTGCAAGGAGCTAGAGTCGGAAAATCAAAAGGGCCGAACTCGTTCAACATTTTTTAAGCTCAAGGAACTGAAGAACAAATTCAAACCTGGAGTTGCTATAATCAAGGATGCTTTAGGCAGAATGTTAAATGATCCAGGGAGTATTAAAAGAAGATGGAAGGGATATACTGAGTCATTTTATCGAAAGGAATTGGCAGACACAGAAGAATTTAATGAAATAATATTTAAGCAAGAGCCTATGGTGATGAAGGAAAAAGTTCAACCTGCTTTGAAGGAAATAACAAAAATAAGGCCCCAGGAATAGACGATATACCAATTGACATATTTCAGCTAACAGATGCTGCCATGGATGTGCTCACCAAGTTGTGCCAAGAATCTGGAGAACAACCACTTGGCCAACTGACTGGAAGAGATCTATATTTGTTCCCATTCCAAAGAAGGGTGACCCAACAGAGTGTGGAAACTACAGAACAATATCATTGATTTCACATGCAATCAAGATTCTACTGAAGATTATCCAAAAACAACTGGAACAGCACATCAGCAGAGAACTGCCAAAAGTCCAGGCTGGGTTTAGAAGGGGTCGTGGTACTAGGGATATTGTAGCTGATGTTAGATGGATCTTAGCCGAAAGCAGGGAATACCAGAAGAATGTCTAGCTGTGTTTCATTGATTATGCAAAGGCGTTTGACTGTGTGGATCATAACAGACTGTGGCTGACTCTGAGAAGAATGGGAATCCCAGAACATTTAATCGTGCTAATGCGAAATCTATACTGGGACCAAGAGGCAGTCAGAACAGAGCAGGGTAACACTGCATGGTTCAAAATTGGAAGGGTGTACGCCAGGGATGTGTCCTGTCTCCATACCTTTTCAACCTGTGTGCAGAGCAGATTATCCGAGAGGCTGGGCTCTATGAGAAGTGTGGCATCAGGATTGGTGGAAGATCTATTAACAATCTGTGTTATGCAGATGACACAACCCGGCTTGCTGAAACTGAGGAGGACCTCATGCACTTGCTGCAGAGGGTCAAGGACCGCAGCCTTCAGCATGGACTGAGGCTCAATGTCAAGAAGACAAAGATTCTCACCACTGGACCAATTGGCAGCATCAGGATGGATGGTGAAGAGATTGAGATTGTTCACACCTTTAGTTTGCTCGGCTCCACAGTCAACACTCTTGGCACCAGCAGTCAGGAAATCAAAAGACGTGCTGCAATGGGAAAGTCTGTGGTTAGGGACCTCTCTAAAGTACTCAAGAGCAACGGTGTCTCTCTGGAGACTAAGGTGCGCCTGATACAGGCCATGGTCTTTGCAATCACTTATTATGCATCAGAGAGTTGGACAATGACTAGGGAGGATAGAAGGAGAATTGATGTCTTTGAGCTGTGGTGCTGGAGAAGAGTATTGAATGTACCATGGACTGCCAAGAAAACAAAGAGATTCATCCTGGAGAGGGTTAAACCAGGCTACTCTTGGAGCAAGGATTCTGGGGCTTCGTCAGACACACTTAGAACATGTAAGGAGGGACAGGTCCTTGGAGAGGGACATCATGCTTGAGAGGGTGGAGGGACGGCTCAGGAGGGGAAGACCCTTAATGAGGTGAATTGATTCAGTGACTGGGGTAATCAGGATGGGTGTGTCAGAGGCAATGCGACTGACACAAGGTAGAGCAGGGTTTAGGGCTGTTGTACATAGGGTTGCTATGAGTCACAAACGACTCGACCGCACATAACAACAACTTAAGTACTATTGGTTCTTGACTATATGCTATTTTGTGAAATAGTTGAGTATTGAGTCTTTGTGGTACAATGACTCTGTATTTCTCTAATCTTCTTTTGATGCTCTCTGCTTTAGTATTTTTCTGGTCATTCTCCTCACTCCTCTTGCCCTTCACCTAACTGATTCCTTTCCATCCTTCAAATCTTAGTTCAGGTGTGACTATCATCTTGACCAGAAGCCATTGGCAAGCCCTCTGAATAGTTAGATTTGTTTTGTTTTCTTGTGTGGGGTGTGTTTTCATTTTCTGTTTTAAAAATATGTTCAGAAATCTCTTCCTATTTTCTGAGCACTTACTATAGAAATGGTTATACATTTATTGATGAGTTAATATCTCTTTCTCTTTCACTAGACTATAATTCCTAGAATAACTGAGGTTGTGTCTTTTTTCCTTGTCGTAGCGTTCAGCACAGTGTTTAGTGCAAAAAAAGAGTTCTCAGCAAATGCTCTCGTAGCACCTGACATCTAGTGGCCATTTGTTGAATATGAATCACAGGATTTCCTTAAGGATTAAATGAATTCGAGTATGATGAACATAAAATGTTTTGTAGCTGGAATGTGCTGCATAAATGGAAGGTTTTTGTTGATTTAAATCTTTGTCAACCTTTCTGAATGTCTAAATAAATCACATCCTGTATTGCCTATGATTATCTTCCATCTCTCAGTAGAGATTCTCAATAGAAGGGGAAAAATAACAGATGTTCAACCTTTATTAAATGTAAAACAATAGAGTTTTTAATAAACTATGAAGGCATTTTCAGTAACATGCCAAATATATCTTTCCCAGCTGTTGTCATAGCTTTGGAAAGTGGAGGAGCTAGTTTCAAATTCCAAAACTCTTCACTGGTTGGGTGACCCAACACATCAAACTCTTTCTTGCCTATGTTGTTCCTTCTACTTGGAATACTCTTTTGTCCTCTTGCTTGGCTGGCTGTTTCTTAACCCTCAAGTGTTTAGTTAAATGTCACTTTCTCAAGGAAATGTCTCTTACTCATCCAATCAGACCAAGTCTTTCTCTTCTCCTCTTTTTTCTTAATTACTGTATTCTATTCATTTCCTTCATAACACTTTGTCCTAACTATCAAGTGCTGGTATAACAGAAATACTACAAGTGGATGGCTTTATCAAACAGAAATTTATTTTCTTAGTGTTTAAAAGTCTATTGTTTGTTAATGTGGTGTCAAATAGCCTATAACTAATAGAGACCCTATGCCTGGAAGCCTGCCCTGTCCTGAGCCAGTCTTACTGACTCTGATACACCTACTCCCTTTGTCCTAGTTACTGTATCAACCCAAATCATCCCTGGTCTTCCTCTCCTACGCTGTCCCTCCACCCTTCTGAGCATGTGGTCCTTCTCCAAGAATTGGTCTTTCCTGGCCACATGCCCAAAGTACGTGAGACAGAGCTTCAAAATCCTAGCCTCCTTCTTCTCCATGTGTCTGTTTGCCATTCTAATATCTTCCTCTGTGAAAAGTCTTTCAATGTCTTTTGCCCATTTTGTAACTGGATTCTCAGTCTTTTTCTTGTGGAGGCCCACGAGTATTTTGTAAATTTTTGTTATAAGACTCTTGTCTGAGATAGTATTACCAAATGTTTGTTCCGAATTTGTAGGTTTTCTTTTCACCCTGTTGGAAAAAGTTTTTGATACACACATGGATTTAATTTTTAGAAGGTCCCATGCATCAATTTTATCCTCTTCAGATTGTGCATTTCTGGTTGTAGTTGGTAGTCTCTTTATACCTTGGGCTAGTGCTTCTAAACGTGATCCCAGTTTGTCTCTCATGAACATTATGGTTTGGGGCTTTACTCCCAGGTCTTTGATTCACCTTGCATTGATTTATGTGATTGGTGTGAGATGTGGATCCGGTTTCAGCTTTCTTCAGGTGAAATTAATCCAAATCACTGCTCCGAATCACTGGCAATAAGAGAGATACAAATCAAAACCATTTCACTTCAGTAACAGTGGCAAAGTTTAGCAGGGCAGCAAGTAATAAATGTTGGAGAGGATGTGGCAAAATGGTACAATCATTCTGGAAGGCTGAACATAGAAATTCCATATGTCCCAGCTTTTCCACTACTTGAAATATACCCTGAGAAATTAAAACTGAGGCTCAAATA